ATAGATAGATAGATAGATAGATAGATAGATAGATAGATAGATAGATAATAGATAGTTGATGGATAGATGGATAGATGATTGATAGATGATACATAGATAGATAGACAGACAGACAGACAGACAGACAGACAGACAGATAAACAGACAGACAGACAGACAGACAGATAGATCGATCCAGAGTATGCGGTGGCCTAGAGGTAGAGCTCTCACCTCACAATCAGGAGGCTGTGAGTTTGATACTAAGTAGAGGCAGATATTTCTCTCTCTGAGCACAATAAGAATATATCTGCTGAACAAAGGTCTGCATCGGTCAACTTGACTCTTTCTCATGTTGGATATTATGAGTAAACCAATGAAAATGAGAACTGTGTTTGGGATTGCATCTTTCTAAAAAAAAATGCTCCAGTGTGGAGACTACTTGTACTTTAGAAAATATTCTTTTATCAGATGGACACAGTATGACTTTCAATTAGGTTTTCCCAACTCAAGAAAATAATGTGTAGTTATGGAATAAATTATAGTAGCACTTAGAGGACCCATTTATCTTAACATAAAATCAACTTTCTCTTAATATATACCTTTTTTTTAAAAAAATGGAGCCACAGCATAAATTATGTTTTGGTAAAATGTTAATCTTGAATTCTGTAACCAAAGTAAATTATTTTTTATAATAGTCCAGGGACTTATCCAGGTTCTTCTATCTTTAAAAAAAAAGCCAACACTGAAAATCAATCTAGTAGCTAAAGCTTAGTAACAAGCGTCACATAAGGCACTTTCACTGATCGCACCAGAATAGCAACTGTTAAGAACATGGAAACTTTTCTACTAATCTCTACATTAAAATAACTTTAAATACAGAGAAATTGAAAATGGTTCTGTGGTTTTCAAGAATAAATTTAAATAGATGTGTGTAAATTTTTATGTAAATGTATATCTATATGACATGCATGTTTTAGTCAAAGGAGATATAGAAGGCATGGCAGAATGCATATTTTGCAGATCCAAGATCCCAAATTCGATTTCTGGGGGCGGTGGGGAAATGAATCCGTGATCTTTACCTATATATTGGAGAGTTGTTGCCAATTAGAATAGATAACATTAAGTTAAACCAAGCAGGATTATGTTAAAGTCAGGCAATTTAGTGTTCCATACATGTTTTGAATTAAAATTCCCAAAGCCTCAGCCAGCATGACTAATGAATTAAGTTTCAACCAACTGTTGAATACTAAAAAAAATCACCAAAATGTTATCTTAATTCCTGTATTTCTAATAGCACAAATATGCTTCTTAGAAACTGTCTATGCTTTTACCTAAATTGCTATCCAAGTGCAAAGCAATTTAATATTCCTTATCTGAGAGCCTGGGTGTATGTACAAGAAAGCTGACAACATAAGAGAAATTTATTCTGCGTATTCCCACCCAAGTACCTTGCTATCTATTCTAAAACAGAATCTTTATTCGGAAAACATTTGTCATTCATAAAAATACCGTTTGGGAAAATATTAGGCAATTCTGTTTTTGTTTATAGGAGGTCTCTTCTCCATTAGCCTTTGATAGAGGCTCTGCTTACTGTTGAGGAGGGGTATTTTTTTTCTCTCAAAAGGGATGCCAGCAAGGGCTGGGCTTCAAAAATTTTAGCAAAGGGTTCTCTGTCCAGTTGCTGGATGGGCACGGCCATGGTGGGCATGGCCTAGTTGCCCTCCTGCACCATGGTGGCGAGGGGGGGTGTTGCCCAGGAGCTTTCCTCAAGCCTCTGTAAGGGTCTCTGAAAGCCTCTCCCAAACTTCTGGGAGGCTGGTTTTTCACCCACCTCGAGCCTATATGCGCACCCTGCAGTTACCTGCATCCAAAATGGGCCCTGTGGGGCCAGCCAGGAGTGGGATTGGGGGGGGGGGTTTCTCCAAACTGCACAGAATCTTAGCTAGGGGCTCTTCCAAACCCCTGTGAACCCCCTGGATGCCAGAAATGAAAGAATGGGACAAGCTAAACTGTAGAATATAACCAAATTCTGGTAAAAATGAATTACAGACTCCGTGAAAGGGAAGGACCTGGATTCAATCCCTGTTCAGTATACGATCGGCTACAACTTTTGGAGTATCCAGCCTCTATCTGAAGATCTCCAGTCAAAGAAGGGACAGGAGGATATTCATAGCACTTCATGAGACAATTTAATACAATGAGGCAAATGGCAACCAGCATCTATTTACAACAGCTGCAGCATCACAGGGTCACCGATCACCATTTGCGACCTTCCCAGCCAGCTTTCAATATGCAAAATCAATAGGGGAAGTCAGATTTGCTTAACGACTATATGATTCATTTAACAATCGTGGCAAAAAAAAGTTTTTAAAAATCAGGCAGGACTCACTTAACAACCACCTTGCTTAGCAATAAGAATTTGGGTCCCAATTGTTGTTCAGAATTAGAGGACTACCTGTACTCAGTTTCATTCTCATATTTTACTTCCTTAATTTCCATCACTACAAGCACCACCAGTGGAATGAGCGGGAAAAACAATAATGATCTAAAAATAAGGTCTCTAGAATCCAGGGTAACTATTTTATTAAGATTATATGTTGCATTCAGAATTCACTGCTTCTTAAAATCATCTCTTACTCTTGCTTGGCTTATATCCTACTCATAAGGATAGTATTCATCATACTCATAGGAGCTGTAGTGGTGCAATGGTTAGAATGCAGTATTGCAGGCTGACTCTGCCCACTGCCAGGAGTTTGATCCTGACTGGCTCAAGGTTGACTCAGCCTTCCATCCTTCTGAGGTTGGTAAAATGAGGACCTGGATTGTTTGGGGCAATATGCTGACTCTGTAAACTGCTCAAAAGGTACTATAAAATGATATATAAGTCTAAGTGCTATTGCTATAAAGAAAGGCCAATTTTCATAGCATTTTTATTTTTGAAAACCCTCAGTGTGGAATTTAGATGATCATCTGGATGGATTAATGGAAGATGATAAGAAAAGCTCCTCTGGTATGAAGCGCACTCACCTGTCCCAATGTACATCACATGGTAGAGTGTATCCTTGCCCTGAACAATGTCAACCACCAGTTTGGAAAAACGGATGTTGTCCTGAGTAACATAGGGGTCCACAGAGACAGGTTGCACCACATCATTCATTAGGAACAAGCGCTGAGCATCCTGCAGGATCCTTTCTGTTAGATTCTCATTGGGGCCATCATCATTCAATATGCCACACTGGAAGGAGAAGGAGGAGGAGGAGGAGGAGGAGGAGGAGGAGGAGGAGGAGGAGGAG